GTGGCGCCCAGACTGTGGAATGCGTTCCCTGGAGAGGTGCGCCTGGCGCCGAATTTATATTCTTTTCAGTGCCAGGTCAAAACCTTTTTATTGTCATTTTAAAAAATAGTATTTAAATGTTTTAACAGTCGTTTTGATTTTTATTTAAATTTTGTTACTGTGTTATTTATTTATAGATGTGATGGTTTTATTGAATTTTGATTTTAAAGTGTGAAAGCCATCCTGAGATGCCATGCATAAGGGACGGCATACAAAAGTTCTAAATAAATAAATAGCCTCCACCTCCCCTTTTAGCCCTTCTATTTTTCTTGAAGGGGTTGTATCCATCTATTATTGAACTCCAACTGAGAGGATCTTCCCATCACGTTTCAGTAATTGGCACAAGATCATAGTTGCCTTCATGTACTTGAAGCTCAAGTTCATGTTGTTTATTACCCATACTCTGGGCATTTGTGTAGAAACACTGCAGTTCACTAGGGTTATAACCTGGTTTTGTTTCTGGATTTTTGTTATTGGTTCTTATTGGTGATTTTTTCCTCTGCTGAGGGGCTTATTTCATTTCCTGTTCGTGTAGAGTCCTTTTGCACATCTCTCTCCTCTATGTGATCTAAGTTAAAGCCCTCATTTTGTGTCCAAGGACTTGTTTTCCATACTTTGAGAGATGTAGCCCATCATTTGCCAGTAGTCCTTCACCCAAGAAGTTTATCCTTTGATCCCAGAAACCAATTTTCTCTCTTCAGCACCACTGTATTAACCAGGTATTTACTTGGAGTATTTTTCTTTCTCTGTCTTTTTTTTTCTTTCCCTAACTGGTAGGATTTGGGAGAAGACTATTTGGGCCCCAAAATTGTCCTTAATTTTTCTGCCTAGAGCTTTGATGCCTGTTGTAATTTCCTCTGTTTTCCTTTTGGCTGTGCCATTAGTTCCAACATGGATGAGAAGGAAGGGTTTTTTACTCATTGGTAGATTTTATGAGTTGTGAGTATTTGTTGCTTATGTCATTGATCTTGGCTCCAGGTAAACAGCACAGCTGCTGGTTTAGATGTGTTCTTCACTCATCTTTTTTTTTTAATTCTGCACAAACATTTACAGCTAAATATAGGTTTTTGAATGTATTTTCTGTAAGTACACATTTTAGACATGTTTAACCTCAATATATGCATATTTGCATGCAGGTTAGTATCTTTTGCAACTGCATTACAACACTGAAGTCTGAAATCCAAAGCATTACCCTGCTGAGATTATTTCAGGACGTGTTTGTTTGTGCCGGAAATTGTACCATACCCGTTCCTTGAATGATAATCAGTATTGCTTTGGTGAGGATATTTCCCTAAATACCTTGCCTGCTGGCATGTTCCAGGGTGCCTGCGGCCTGCACTCAGCACGCCCCTTCTCACCCAACACGGGAAATACCTGGCTGAGCTGGCCACAGGGGCACAGCCCCCAGCGGCCCTTTCTGTGTGGCACGCCAGCTGGCCGCTCATCCACGCTCTGATGAATTCCGCTTCTTTGTTTTGCAGAGAGATGCCAAAGGTCAGTACCTCTTCGACCTCCTTTGCCATCACTTAAACCTCCTGGAGAAAGATTACTTTGGGATCCGGTTTGTGGACCCAGACAAGCAAAGGGTGAGTCCCAGCAAAGACCTTCAGAGAATCCCAAGGGGCAACGCCAGGGTGACAGGAGGTGCTTCAGTGCTTTGCAGGCCTCCTTGCTCTGCAGAACAGATAAATTATGCAGAAGTGCATGATGTATGCAGCTCTGTTTCCTTTACAGAATATTTTTAGGGAGAGTAATGTATGCTGGTGGGTCTCACTGGCACGGTTTTCAGGTGGTGTCCAGTTTGGTAGTAAATTCCACCCAGGTCTCCTTGCTTTCAGAGTGAATATAACATGCACTGGGATGCTAGTCACAATACTTGGTATGCTTGCCTGGTGCTGATGCTTGTGGAGAGCTTGGGGCCTTGTTCCCCCGAGAAGGAAAACTTCCCCATGGTTTGACTTGGTTGTCCAGATTGTGTGGGCAGGACTGGACTCCACCTTGGATGATCCTCTTCAGGCTGGCTTGGCAGCTGCTTGTGAACATGACTTAAGCACCCCAAAACTAGCAGCATCAAGATGGCTCTTCTGGCACTTGCAAGGATGCTGCTTTTGAGCATGTATTCACATCATCCCATAGGATCCACTGATTTGCCCTCCTGATGTTTGTCTCTCAAAGAGGGAGGAGGAGGAGGAGGAGGAGGAGGAGGAAAGCTGGCAAGAGACTGGGGTGAAGGAAGATTTCCTCTGCAGCTAACAAAATGAAGCTGCCACTACCAGTTTCACTGTGGCACAAACCTTCCATGTGCCTCTTTGGAGAGCAATCTCATGGCCCCTCAGCAAGAAGGGGCTTTGTGCTAGCTGTGGTGGGGCTCAGCTCCCACCCCTGGCCTGACTTGGCTGCATCTGGGTCATGGCATATCCTGTCTTGCCACGTTGCCTCAGCAATGCAGGCTTGCCCGCTAACCGTGGGCCAGCTCCCACATCTGGCCTGACTCCCGCCATGTATCCTGCCCAGTCCTCCTGCCTCAAGGTGCCCGCCCCTCAGTTTGTCTTCCTGTTCTTGTCCCTTGACTTGTTTGTAACCATGTCCTTGTTCTGCCCTGATAGATGCTTCTGGTTCCTGGTGTGAGTCATCCTAAGGCACCTCCTGCCCTCTCCCTGCAAAGCCTCTTCACTGGATGGGCTGAAAAGTCCCCCTAGTGAGGACAGCATTGAACGGATAGGGAGACAAAGGCCTAGGAATCTTGGAAGGCTTTGTGTTTGGGGGTTTTGCACAGCAAGGATGCCCCCTTCAGGTCACAGGTGGAAAGGTTGTCTCCCAGCACAGCTTAGACAACGGTTGAACAGCACCATGCTGAAGAAGCCATGATGTCCCCAAGAATTTGGGTTTGTGTGGCCAGAACGGAAGCAGGCAGCTTGCTGCAGAGCACAGGTGTTTCCTGGCGCCAGGTCTTTTGTTCCCTGGCCAGGTTCCACAGCAGCCACAGCCAAGCATGGCACAAGACTATTCCACACCTGCATACCTGAACGTAGTGGGTGGATCTGGCAGTCGCTCAGCTTGTTTCTTAATGAAAAAGAGTGGTGAGAGATTTCCAGTTTGACTGGAGGGAATGCTTGATCCATTTCCATGGGTCATTTCCTCACCTTACTGCACCCCCAAACTGCTTTGCTACCAGAGTGTATTTTTTTTTTTACTTCGGGAGCAAAGGGTATCCATTTTGAATAGAAAAATTGCCCATATGAAAGGCAGTGTATCTATTTAGAAACAAAGAAACAGAGCGAATAAGAAGGGTCCTCCCAGGCCATCTAGTCTGATCTCTGGCAACATTTAAAGCACTTCCATCTCAGTCTTCTGCTAAGAAGGTTCCCAGGGAGCACTCTAAATGACATAGCACAATGCGGGGGAGGGGGAAATAGGATTAGTGGAGAAGAAGTAAACCAGCAAAGGTTCTTGGAGCAGTGGGATTGCTGTAAGAGGGGGCTCAAGCAGAAGATGTTCAACTTCAGCCAGGGTGACCCTTGAGCTACAGTGTTACAGGGTTTCAGCTGGTGAAAGAGGAAGATTCTGGCTCTTGGAGAACTCAAGACAGGAGATAAAATGTTCCTGAGCAATTCCGCCCGTGTTTAGTGAGAAATGAGTCTGTCATCAACTTTCTGTCTGTCTGTCATCAACTTTTGTGTTTAGCCAGTAGGTGATGTCACAGGCATGGTGGGCATTTGGCCACTGGGATAGGAGAAAAGTCTGCAGAAGAGAGTTCCTGGTTCATTTTGAATCAGCACATGAGCACCTGTGCAGTCGTGACTACTGCTTGTAGAAAATGCTTGAGAAGTCTAGCATTTGAATGATGCTATGGCAGGGCAGGAGCGCATCCAGACCCCGCAGTAGCTGGTGGGATGATGTTTGTGCTCTCCCGAGCCCAGGTTTGATCATACGTCATGCAAAATAGGATAGCATGTAACCTTCTTGGCATTCCCCCTGCCAGGAATTATGCCCACCACCATCTGCCCCATAGTGGGGGTGGGGTGGTGCTGTGGCTGCACACAGGCTACGGAAGCGGCCCACTGAGGCTGGAGGGAGAGCAGTGCCAGACTGCGGGCTGTAACCTGGCCTGCTGGGGCTTCTGGGTGAGGAACAGCCAACTGCCACTCTGGAACATCTCACCATGAGAGTGAGAGGCCTGCAGCGGCCCCTCCCCTGAATGTGGCTGCAGGGAACTCTTGGATTGTTTCCTTCCCTTTGACAGTCTCTTTCTTCTGTATTTCAGCACTGGTTGGAATTCACAAAGTCCGTGGTGAAGCAAATGCGATGTAAGTATTGCTTTATTTGGAACGCTGGGGCAGGCCTGACTTCTGGGATTGAGTCACATCTTGATTTGATACGATAAGCAGGAGGCAGTGATCGAGGTGTTTGTTCTTGAGTCTTCGTTGTCCCCGCTGCATGGACCTCTGCACTTGCCTGGCCAGTGCCTTGCACCTGGGTTCCAACGCCCTGGTATTTTCCAAGCGTCTCTGTAGTCTAAAGTTCCCTTAACCTGCTTTCAATGAACAGGGTCAGGCTTTGTTCAATAGCTGTGGCAGGATTCCTCACTTCTGACCCCATAGCAGCAGCATTTCCAGTGCTTTGTCGCACTTACGCCCAAGCAATCCTCTCCCCTCCTGATGCCACGGGAAGTGCAGAAGGCCAAGTCTTTCTTCTCCCCATGCGGCCCATGCCACGTGCACAGAGACCATCCCAGCAACCTAAGGGTCACTTCTGGTTTAGCAAGTCAGTTAATGCCACCCAATAGCATGGACTAAAGTTTGCTTTCAAGGCACTGCCCTGCACCAGGGTAAGGGGCAACTTTGCTCCCTGGGATTTAGGCTCTGCTTGGGGATGTGGAGGTAGAACTGGCTTGCTGTACAGGGTCCCTGGGACTGCTGCTGACCCCCCGCCAATCTGATGTGCCTGTCTCTTCTGCAGCACAGCCTCCGTTCACCATGTGCTTCAGGGTGAAATTCTACCCCACTGACCCCGCTGCTCTCAAAGAGGAGATCACTCGGTAAGGTTCCTTCCATCTTGTGCTAGCTGCAGAGAGATGCTTGCCTCAATGAGAGGCCAGGGAGCTCTTTGGATGTTTTATGCAAAGTCTGCCATGCCAGCTGCTTCTGGGTGGGAGTGTTCTGCCATATGGGAGCACCAAAGAGCAGAAGAGGAGTTTTCAAAACTTGGGGAACAACGCAGCCCCTTGTGTCAGGGTCAGGAATGGATCCTTTTCCTTCAGCAGCTTCTCTGGGGCCTGGCAGATGGTTAGCAGAACTGGGCTGTGTGGAAAGCTCTTTTCCATACACTCCTCTGGCCCCTGTGACTTACAGGTTTCAGAATGGCTGAGTGTCCCTCAAAAGTCTCTCACAGGCTCATTCAGGGTGGCAAAATTACTGACTTGTGGTAATGATCCAGAGGAACACCGATACACAGTTCCACAGGGGCTGCTCCCCCCGCCGGAGTGTGAAACTGCAGGGAGGAAGACTGTGGCATCCCTTTGTACATCTGTCTTTTGTTCTGCCTGTGCCGTGATGAAGGCTTAGCTTCATGCAGGTGTGGGTGGGTTTTACCAGCAAGGTCAGGTTCCAGGAAGGGGAGTGGATCAGCATCACGTATCACCTCCCATGGCCCTAAGACACAAAATGAGCGGGGCCTGTCTGTGTGAAGCTCCAGGCAGGACTGAGCTCCCATCTCCTAAGTGGCTTGGCCTGTTCCTGCAGTCTCAGGCTGCAGCAAGATGCGCGTTGCTGTGCTGTGCTGGAGGTTCTGTGACCTGCATCCTCACGGGTTGAGGCTGGCAGTGCCGCCTCCTCTTGGTGCAAGGGTGCTGCCCTGGAGAGCTGAGCCCTGAGATGCCATCCCAGAATAGAAGCTGTCAACAGTGGTGGAGACTGGAAGGTGTGAGGTGGCTGGGCAGAAGTGAGGGAGTAGTCAGGTGGAAAGCTGTTGGTCTTCTTTGGGTCCACCTCCAGTCCTTCCCTGCATGGACTGCCTCTAAAATTACAGTATTTCTTTTATGGTGGTAGCCCGGGAGGAAGGAAGCATCTGCTAGCTCAGCAGCCCATCCTGTGGCACTACAAATCCGTCACCGGTTGTATGTTCGCAAAAGATAATCTGAGATTTTAATGAAGTTCTAACTTTCTGGAACAAAGATTTTATGGGTGCTTAAGTGGGGAGCAGATAAACAGGGGAATGTTTTCCTCAGCATGAAAGTGCAGAGTCTTGTTTTCCAGGCAGGACACCTTGATGTCTTTAATTGTGCTGAGGCTGCTTTTCTGATTGTCAGTGAACAACAAAGAATTTTTTCTTCCCAGACAGAGCAGCACATGTGCGAATGATCTAGAAATGGTCTGTGACAGTACTGACAAAGGGCTCTGCCAACTTGGGTTTGTAAAGCTGCTCCTAAATCTTGATGGATTTTTTTTAAAGTTCTGTAAATAGCTGCGGCTTGCTTATCGATACCTGTGCTCTGACCATCTTCTGAGTACCTTGGGAAGATGAAATATAGTATTCTTAGAGCAGGGACGCAGCACTTTCAGCCTGCGGCCCAAATGAGGCTACCAGGCCTCCCTGCCAGGTTTCAATGTGAATTGGCTGGCAGCAGCCAGGTCCGGGTGTCCCTATGACAGTAGGCAGAGCCCAGGTCTCAAAAGCCCAGGCCGAGGCAGCATCAGCGAGACCTTGCTCGATTACCAGATTGTAGGTGAATTCTTGTTTCAACAGCTGCTGCATAGTACACCCATCAGGCCTGAATTTAAATGTGGAATGGCCAAGAACAGCTGTGTCTGCTATTAAGCGTGCAGATGATTTGCTAATCTGGAATGCTGAGCAGCAGTGCCTTGACAGCCATCAAAGATTAGAAAGCAAATTAAAATTCCATCCAGAGATTTAGCCAGGGAAGCAGCAGGACCCTGGCTACTTAGGATCCTCAGGATGCATCTTGGCGACTGCAGAATGCTGAGAAACAGGCTGAGTTAAGGGGAGCTGCAGCTAGACAGCACAGTGGCTGGGCTCCCGGATAATGTGGCTCACGTGTCATCCAACTGCTTCGTTGCCCTTCTGTATATCTCTCTCATGCAGGTGAGGAGGGACTGGATTATTTTTTCCATCCTTGCAAGCCATCAATTTCTTTTTCTTCAAGGAAGGAGATTTAAAATGGGGGCAAATCTAATTTTAGCTCTCATGTGTATAAGTCAATTCACATCATCCCTCAACTCTGCTTAGATGGAAAGTCAGAGCGTGAAGCAAATTAGAAATGAGGAACCAACAGCTTCTTATAGACACCAATGCCCAGCTCAGTTTGTTATGCTAGGTTTTTCGCAGCTGCCTGCAAGATCCACAAAGTCAGTTGCTGTTTCCAGGTTTATTTAGTAGAAATTATAATTTCTGTCTACCTACTAAAGATGCAGAACTGTTTATTTTCAGGAAAGCTCACCAGCAATTCCAATTCCAATACAAAGCCTATCATGACCGGAGAAGCCAGCAGCAGCATGGCAAAGAGTTTTCATTTTTGCAGGTACAGGTGGGGTGGAACATGCTGGCAGCGGCACGGTTGTACCCTGGGATCCTTCATGAGAGGGCCACCACAGGGTTACAGCGAAAAGGCCAACCCCTCCCAGAATCCCTCAAATCAGCCACGCTACCAGTTGTAGGACTCTTTTTCTCTTCAAACTTGCATAGAATTTGTCCCTCAGTAACCATTGTGGCAGATTGGTTAGCACTTCAGCTCCACCTCTGAGAAACTCAGAGAAAAGAGCTCCATGGAAAAGTTGGTCTGAAAGGCTGTTTGGGGTACCTTGAACAGTTCAGTTAGGCAATGAATTGCAAGAAAACTGAAAGTTAACACCATGTCAGTCAGAGTCCGCACGCAATCCCCATCTGGGACATGACATAGGCTGACTGTCTGCCAGAGATTCCTACAAATGAAACACATGGAAAAGGGTGTGGTGTGAGGCACACGCTCCTGATCAAAGCTTCTGGGAGAAGCTCTTCTGGCTTGGATGTGATGAAGTGAGTTAATTCCATGTTGCTCTGGTTCTCTCGCCAGGTATCTTGTCTTCTTGCAGATCAAGAGAGATCTCTATCACGGCCGCCTCCTGTGCAAGACATCTGATGCTGCTCTGCTAGCTGCCTATATCCTTCAAGGTAATGCCTCCTGACAAGAGAGACTTGCTTCCCGTGATAAAGACTGATCGCATGATGTGCAGCAAGCACAGCAGAAATGCCATCCCCAAGGTGTGCCAGGTTCCCACTGCCAGGCAGTGAAGTTAGAGGCAGACCAGCTCCACTGTGCAGGCACCTTCTGTTCGCCACCTGGCCACCTGGCAGCTGCAGCCAGAGCCAGCCAAGTGGTCCTCTGGTTTCAGACACAAGCCGACACAAGCCAGTTTGCAGTTGTTAAAGTGCAGGACCAGAACGGGAAGGTTTGAATGAAGGCCAAGGATCATGAAGAGCATGACTTGGGAATTCACCTCTCTCTGCCCTGGGCCCCGGGGGCATTGCCAGTCTGCATGCTTAGAAATATCTGGCTAGATGGAGCAAGTACAACCATGCCCTGCACACCGGAAGGAAAAGCACTTCCTTGCAACCTGCCAAATAATCACCATTTCTCTCTCTCTCTCTCTTCCCATCCCTCAATTCCTTCCTTCCCTCCCTCCATCTATCCATCAGCTGAGATCGGTGACTATGACCCTGGAAAGCATCCTGAGGGTTACAGCTCCAAATTCCAGTTTTTCCCCAAGCATTCTGAAAAACTGGAAAGGAAAATTGCAGAGATCCACAAAACCGAGCTCAGGTGACTCTGCCTTTGGGTTTTGCTGCCACCCTTGTGGCGAGGGGTTTCTGTTGTTTGTCTCACAGCAAAAGTTAATGACAAAGGAAAAGTGTGCCATGGGAAGAGGACCGGAATCAGAGCAAGGCTGAGGTCTCCTGGTCCAGTTCAGTGTCTCAGCTGCTTGATGGGATTTCGAGAAGGCTTGCCTTTGGAGTCCTTATGAACAGGAGCCTTCAACAGCTAGTGGTCTGAATCCTTTGGAGGACATTCACTCACCCTCCACACCCCACAGTCTCGGGCAGCCTGGGTGAGATTGGCGCCCGGTAACTCTAGCTTTTCCATCGGGACCAAATTTGCCTTAATACATCCTGTCAATCAGCAGCAGCCTCCCCCTAACTGCTGGGTAGCTCAACAGCCTTGGCGTGCGTGCCATATGCAGAGGGGCTGCTTCAGTTTAGAAGTGCAACTGGGAGACAGAGTCCTGATGGGTAGCATCCTGCTTATAATCACATTCCTCATCAACTACTTGGCTGAAGCAAGAAAGGCACTGAGCCCACTGAGATAAGCCCAGCAGAATTCTGCTAAAATCAGGACATGCAACTTTTCTAATCAAGATGCTGAATTTCTGATTAGACACAAATGAATAGCAAACTTTAACGTAAAAGACATTCAAGGCATTTTAAAATACACGTTACGATCTTGTACTAACAGCAGTCAGGGCCGGCCTCCCTCCAGATCTTGTTGGACTGCACCTGCACAATTTAAGGTGAGGGATGATGGGAGCTACAGTCCAGCGACAGCTGAATGGAGCACATTCCCCACCATCCCTGCCTTAGGAGACATCATGGGCAGGTAGCTTATAACTTGGTTGGGTGCAGGAGACCCACAGTGAGCAGCAGTTTAAATGTAAAGGGTTTCTATGCTTCCGTGGGCAAAGCGCAACCCAGAAATCAGGTAGGGAGCCTAACTTTCCACCATGGAAAGCAGAGGGCAAGTGGCAGACCACTAGTGAGGCAGGAACAAAGATCCAGCAGGAAACCTGCACTGCGACTAGGGACTCCTGCAGGTTGCCCCATGTCCTCTTCTGTGAACAGTCAGACGACAGGCATTCGACAGGTGTTGTATCTGTGCATGGCAGCAAACAGACATGGTTTTGTGAGGGCACCACTGAACTGTTACTGAGAATTGGGACTGTGTTGTGACCAGTGGTCATGCTTGTCCCCATTCTGCTCTCTTCTAGCGGCCAGACACCAGCTACTTCTGAATTAAACTTCTTAAGGAAAGCGCAGACCTTGGAGACGTATGGAGTCGACCCACATCCCTGCAAGGTACCCAGCAGCACTCCCTGCTGCAACTTTTCCTTGGGCCTTCATGTTGAGGTTCCTTTCTTTTTGGGGTTCTGATCTCTTCTTGTTTCCAACAGCAGAGCTGGGGAGCAGGACTTGTCCAACGTGCAGAAAGGGGAAAGGAGTTCACATACTCACACATGCACATGGGCCAGGGTTCGCATCATGCGAGACGTCCTCATCTCCAGGCCAGCCAGGCCAAAACTTTTCAGGGCCTCCCCGTAAGACTTGGTTTCTAGGCCTGTTTCCCCGCGTTGGGCACGCTTCGCTCGGTCAACGCCCTTCTTAAAGCCTGTTGAGAATGGGGCACAGGACTCCAGATGTGGCCCGGCGTGATAGTGGGACGGCCACCCCGTGACCAGGCACTGCCCTTTGAGTGGCCTGGCCAGCAGTAGGGTTTGCCCTTTAGCCATCGAGCTCTTCCTTGACCATCTCATTCTGAACAAAGTCCAAGTCACCCTTAGCGGAAGCTGACTCTGAGAGCACGTGGTCTTTGGCAAGTTAACATCCGGGTGGAACTCCGAGTAGGAACTTGCTGCTTGAGCTCTTAACTGCCTCCTGTTATTGCCATCGCTCATGGAAGCAGAGGGACGTGCTTGCCAAAGGCTGCTGGGTATCGGAACAGCTGTGGCTGCCCTTGCATGGCATGGTCTTGCAGCTGGGTCTCTGCAGGGTGTGCCATATTTAATGGCAGGAAAAGCCCCTCCTCTGGAGCCAGGAGAGCTGGAGTGGCAGGGCTGTGCTCAGGAAGCCTGCTTGGCCAGGAACAAGGTCGCTTCCCACACCTGCCGCTTTGCCGAGGCCCTTGGAGTCGCTGGCACACGCTGCCCAGCCTGTCCCTCCCGTGCCTGCATTCTAACATGAGACGTGCCAGACCTGAAGCCAGACTGCTGCGGAGGGACTGCAGAGGCAACCCTGTATCCTGACAGCAGCTGGCCATGGCAGGGTGGTGGGGAGCAATGCTGCTCGTGCCAGGCCCGCCTTGTCCATCACGCAGACCTCCCTCGAGCCTCCGGGTTCTCTTGTGCATTTGTGGAATCAGCATGCTATTGCATTTTAGTGCATGTAACCCCCACCCCACCCTCATGGCAGACCAGACACAGAATGGCAGCTTCAGAGGTGAGAAGAGAGAATAGCTGCAGTTTTTCACCTCAACTGTGAAAGCACAATCGGAAAAAAAACAATTGGGTACCTTGAAATAAGGAACACTATCCAGGAAAGACGGCACGAAATATCCAGTGCTGCTTCCAGGTGAGCTAGGAACTTGCCCGGATTTCCTGTGGGAAAGGCCTGTTTGGTTTTATGTCCAGTCCAAATCTGTGAAGGTAACGGATGTTGTCCAAGCAGAGGCGTATATTTGGTGACGCAGCCTCTAATGAAGAGCAGAGACCCGAGGTTGTCTTTTAACCTGTGCACCCTCTGATGAGAAGCTCTCCCTGTGTTGCAGGACGTGTCTGGCAATGCAGCTTTCCTGGCGTTCACGCCCTTTGGGTTTGTTGTCCTGCAGGGGAACAAGCGCGTGCACTTCATTAAATGGTGAGTCCCGCACGGCGGACGGCTGCTACCTGTGCTGGGGGGCTTCACCACATCTGGTCACATGGACGTGTTGCCCGAGATGCCTCTGGTGCAGCAGGATCCACAGGCTGGAGCCGCCCGGCCTCCTTAGTATGGCCTGGCGTAGCTGCCTCCCTCGGCCTCACCCTGGTGGTCTCCGCTGGTGAGAAGTCCTTGCAGCCAACCAGGGTTTGGGCAGGCTTTTTTTTTTTTACCTTCTCCAGGGTAGGGAGCGCATTCATCCTTACACCCGCCGGCTTCTCATTAGCCGTCACCCTTTTCCCCCAGCCGCCACAGCCTTTCTTGGCTCCCTCCCTTGAGCAAAGAGGACTTTCCCTGCAGCTGGAGCAGCCCCCTCAGCCCTCTGGTCTGTCGTTCCGGCTGCTGCGGCAAACAAGCACTGTTTCTGGGTGTGCAACGGGGGACTGTCAACAGTGAGCTAGGAAAGAGCAGTCCCCAGAGCAGGGTCTGCACAGAGCACATGGTCCCCCACAGCGGAGAAATCCACAAATACTTAGCAAGACAGCAGGCAGCTCTTCCTCAGGCTTACAGCTGGGTGCATAAAAAGGCACCAGAAGCTGCCACTGTGGGGTGGGAGGGTGAAAGGTCCCTGGGCTGCGTGGGATCTTGGCTGCATGACTGGTGGAGCCTTCCGTTTATTTCCTTTTATCCTGAGGTTGTTCACCTGCTCCCAGCATTTCTGCTGTTGGTGTTAAATATTCTAAGAACCTCGTCCCCACTGGAAAGCTCCCTGTTTTCTTGCCTCACAAAGGCCACTCTCCTGTTCCCTTGCATTGGAATGACATCACCCACATTTGGCTGTCTTTGAACCCATCAACAGCAGGTTGAGGGCAAGATGGTGCGGCAGCACAGCCTTTGCTTGGAGAGCTGAGATGCAAAAAGCTTTGCTAAATGTACAGATTTTTGTTTTTTTTAATGGGGAGCCTCTTGCGTACTTCCAGAGAGTCAGCTTGTGAAACCGACAGAGAGAGAGGGTTAGTGTGCCTGTCTTCAGCAGGTGTTCGACCTCAGGGTTCTGCCTTTGCACTGTGAATTGAAAGGAAACATCTCAAAGTGCTAGACAAGGAGTCAGTTTCCTCTCACTGCCATCCTCCAGAGCAGAAGACAACTTTCCCTTATTCCATTGGGCAGAGTGTGTCAGTTTCTTTGCAAGGCATTGGATTCAAAGCAAGACACACCTGTAACAGGGAAGGACAGTGGGTGGGATGTGCACAAACGACCACGTGAAGAAGTGCAGCTTTAGGGATGCCAATGGTGACCATTGTGCAGACACATGTACCTGGAGAAAGCACTTAGGGCAAGAGGCTGGACGGGAAAGTGCCAGCAACTTCCATACTCAGTGACTGAAATGGATTATGCAAAGGCCCAGGCCTCACCAGGCTGAGGATACAGTCTGGGGGCTGCTAAGTGGCCTCCAGGAACACCTGTGGCCATTCCAAAACCACCTCACGGGATGCTGCTGGCACTGTCTAGGTTGCGGTTTTATTTCATTGAGTTTCTTGGTTGCCTTTTAGTCTGTGTTGTTTCTATACTGAAGGAGCAGAAAATAAATGCTTAGATAGAATAAAAGATGGACCATGTGGCAGGTTTACCCAAGTTGAAAAATTACATTGTGAGCTGAGCAGAGTGCCCAGTTATGAGCTATCATAGCAGCACAGAAATCCACTAAATAAACAAACAAACCACAGACCTCTCCACAAAATGCAGGAACTGTGAGTGTAGCAAGCAGTTCTTGGGATCCAGGATTCTGTGGCCTGCTGCATGTGCTTGCTGAGCCAGCTGGCAGCAGACAAGAACAGCGTGAATGGCTGGACTTGCAGTGCAGCCCTCAGCGCCAGAGACCCTCTGTGGGCCTTCAAAGAGCTTGAGGTGCTCTGCTTATCGACATGATGTTTGGCAGCTCCCTGGCCCACAGTGAAATGGACCACCGTGCTGTGGCTGAGGAGGCAGTTCTGTGAAGCAGAAGCAGCAGCACCCTGAGCAGATGTGTCTTTTCTGCTGTGATCCCTCCTGGTGGTCCAGGAGTTGCAGTGCCTCCATTCCGGTTGGGAACTGTGCTATCCAGAGAAGGACTAGGAACAGTACCTTGCAGAAGATTCTGAGTAGATTTTGTCAGAATTGCATTTCCTGACATTTGAACTTGGAAACTCCCAAGTTCCTTCTCTCCCAAATATGAAGAACTTGATGAGAATTTTGGTGAATTCCTATTAAAAAAGTGGAAGCAAAAGCCTTACCCATCTGTGCTAGCCAAATTCTACCATTACAGCTATTCCCAAATGTTGTTCCCACCTGCTCTTAAAAGATAAGGATGTAGAAACCCTCGTTAAGCATTAGTGGTGGAACAGGCAAGGATTCAAACCATATGTATTAACAGCTAAGTATGAGAAAGGCACAATATACAGGAGTTGGAGGCCCTTTGTCTATCTAAACTTACTGAGGATTGTGCCTGCAGTTTTTAAGAGCTGAGCACTGAAAGCCCTGGGTCTGGATGGATAAATCCGTTTTGGTTCTCCCACATTTGATTTTTTTTTTTTAACTCAAATTCTTTTTGTCCCCTATATGGAGAACTTTGTGAATGCTGATACTTTTCCTTCAAAAGTATCCTAACCATTGTTTCCTAACCAAAACAAAGTTTTCACCCAACCCAGTTCTGATTAACTTTACCATGTGGGATCAAACTAATCTGAGTTGTCAGTCCTATGTAAAGGAAACAACTAGAAATTCTGGAAACCTTGAGAAAATATATGAGAATACATTATTACTGTTATTTTTTGGCTGCTGATCAGAGTGCATGGAAAGCTAGTATGGGTAATAGGACAGAAGCACAGTCTGGTGCAGAGAGATCAAGGGATGGTTTCTATTTTCCCAGTGCTACTATATTATATTTTGATAATGAAAAGCGCCCCCCCCCCCCGCCCCAACCAAAAGAAAGGCAGGATTTTGAGTTGAGGAGCTCAGTGTGGTATACCTAGGCCTGGAAATCATTGCATGTATCTGGACAGCTGTGGATGAGGCTAGTTCTTGCTAGATTAGAATCTGCGACTACTTATGAATTTATTTATTATATTTGTATGCCACCACATAGCTCAAGGGTCTCTCTTGGCTAGGGCTCTTGAAAACTCCTGGCAGGCATCTTGCATAGGAGCAGAATCCATGGATGGGGTTCTGTAGGCATGACATTCATTTTGACTCAGGCCCAACAGAGACATGGCCATCGTTCATGCTACTGAGAGTTTTGTAACTTTTTTTTAGATAAATCACCAAACTGGGGGGAATATATACGTATTTTCTTTCAAGAAAGTCAATGTGGTTCATACAATCCTCCTCCTCTCCGTGTTATCTTCATAACAACAGCCGTACGAGGCAGGTTAGGCTGAGATGCAGTGACTGGCCCAGTCACCCAGCAAGCTCCACGGCTGAGCAGGGACCGGACCCAGAGCCCACGGGTCCTAGGCCACCTGCCACACCGGCTCTCCTTGCACTGTGGATGTGTGGCCTGGGCTGGGGGCCAGGTGTGCCGTAGGAGAGCTTAAGCCTTTCGCTGACGCCATGATCCATGCACCAGCTACCGAGAGGAAAGCTCCCAACAGCAGGTGTGCACCTCCCAGTCTGAATGGGGAGCAAAGCTGGGGGCAGACGGCAAGAGCCCTCTGCCTTCCCTGCCAGGATCTTACTTTAGAGCACTCCCACACCTATTCCCTCTGGAAGCACAGTCAGTCAGCAGCGCAGGTTCAGCTGCATCTAGAAGGCCCCACTTGTGAGTCCACAAGCCGTAACTTAGTGTGGCCACTCCTGCAGCATGCTGACCCGGGTGCGGCGGGCGTGTGTTGGTGTCCAGGAAGGCCAGGATATGGACTAGAGGCTAGGGGAGTGTGCTGGTGGGTACTTTATTCCTGGAAAAACTTCAGGCAAGCAGCCACCCTGCAACGCTTGGTACATGTCCTTATAGAAGCTGACTTGTATTTGATGGACATGAGCGTGGACCTGTTGCTCTGAAGAGCCAGGAAGGCCATCTGTCAATGGTTCCTTTAAAAGAATAGGCCAAATACAGCCAAAGCCAAGGCTGCTTGTCCTCCATACTCCAGTCTTTCTCCATTGTCCTTCTCAACAATGTGTCCTCCATTGTAGAGCTCCATTCCCGTTCTGGCAGACGGTGACCCTGGACCAAGTGCTGTGCTGTCCTGCTGCTCAAAGCACATCACGGTTGTCTAAGACCTCCAATGCGATAGGCAGTTCCTGTGTTGCCCCACTCCACTCTATGCCTGCCTACCTTTCCTTCGGGGGCTGCAAACTCTGACTCACTGGGGTCCGGTTTCCAGGCCTGCAGAAGGCAAAGCCACTTAAAGCTTCCTGTGTCTCAGCAGGAAGCAGCAGCCGTCCTTGCAGCCACCACAGTGAGCGATGCTGCCACTTCCTCCAGAACTCTGAACCATGTTCAGGTGACCCAGCATTCTTGCACTCACCGTCTCCCTGCAAGAGTATTTCCTCAACCCAGTGGGAAAGCCTGATCCCTGGGAGCCGATGGGGGACGCATCCAGCAGCCAGAGAGTGCATCCTGCTGGGCTGAAGAGTGTCATTGTCCACTCTCATTCACCACTCGGAGATCCTTGGCTATTGGGCAGTACAGAAATGAAATAAATAGCGAATGAATGAATGATTGCTAGTGCCAAAGGAATGCCATTCTCCTCCCGAGCGCCATCCTCACTGCAGTGCAGGAGGAGGAGCAGGGGCCCCTCCCTCCTCAGGACATCAGCGGAGCTGGGATCAGGTCCGTGCAATGTATCGTTAGGGTCACTTCTCTTGCTTTGCGTTGTATCCCGTTGTTGATGTACCCCAGTACTCTGTTTGCCTTTTTTACTGCAGCCATGCACTGGGCTGATGGGCTTCAAGGATTTTTCTGCAATAACCCCTAAACCCCTTTCCTGGTCAGTACACTGCATGACTGTTTCCTGTACTCTGTACTCTCAGTATTTGGTTTGTTGCCCCAGATGTATTCTTTTGTACATTTGTCTGCATTGAACCGTATCGTCCATGTTATTGGCACAGTCACCCGAAAGGCCCGCAGGCCCCGCTCCAGACGTGGCTGCATTGTTACTTGTTCTTTGCTGTCTCTCAGACTTCAGGCTCATTGGCTGAGTGTGGTTATCCTACATTTGACATTCTCACCCAGAAATGCACCCGTGCTGTCGACCAAGTTTCCAAGGTGGCCATGCACCCCGCCCACTCAGGCGCACCCCTCCTTCCGCCTCCACCACTCTTTCGGAGCCAGGAGTCCTCTTCTCTCACCATGTTACTTTGGGTGAACGGCAAATGTTGAACTCGAAGTTCCCGCAACTGCTGTCCTTAGAACATTTTTTTTCTTAACTTTGCGTGCCATGCAAGCAATTTGGTTTAACTCTCTGCATCTTGCCAGAACCTATTCCACGCTGTCTGTGGGCTCTGCATTTGTAATGCTATGCGGTGCGAGGTGGGTTTTGTTCCCTATGATGAAAGTGCTTCTTTATGCTTGCAGGAATGAAGTGACAAAAATGAAATTCGAAGGCAAGACATTCTATTTATATGTAAGTCAGAAAGAGGTGAGTGCCTTCTGCCAAATCGCACAGGTACCATCCCTATTTCTTCCCTAAGACAGATAAGCTTAGTGACAATTTGGGATGCCAGAGAAGCCCTCAGTGAGTTCAGATTACTTTGAATCCAACCTGGCCATTCAGAGGATTCTGCAGTAGACCAGCATTTTACAATGTGTGTGTGGGGGGGGGGATGCTAATTTGGACATGTGCTCATGTGCATTAATGCAGAAGTGCAAACCAGTGCAAAGGTACGTTAGTGCAAATGGCACAGAATTCATGCACACCCCTAAAATATAATTCCTTCCATGAGCAGAAAGTGGAACAAAAGACAGCTGGCAGCCCAGTGAAATGCTGGAAGAACCAATATAAACAGGATCTATGCCTGCCTTTCAGCAGTGCAGCTCTATTTCTGCCCACAGTCCATCCAAAAGCAGCACACATCAGATGAGTAACAAATGAATATGGGTGTATCGGTTTAAAAACGGTCAAACTACCAACAGTAACAGAGATTCTCCCAGATGCTTCCCTATGGACCAACATGGCCTACTTTGTTTTATAATGATGAATTTCTAGTTGTCCTTCCCAGCCCAAAATTATATGGGTGCACGTGATGCAGGTGGTGCCCACAAGGTTCGACGAACACCCTCCTAGACAAGGCTCAAGTGTCAGGCACACTGGAAACTGTGATGTCACAGCAGCCAGAGTAATAAGTGGGACCGGCTAGTCCACGCATATGATGCCAGTTCCAGCCCACCTGCATGTTTCTGGTGGCAATTCAAGGTGCTGGTCTTAACCTATAAAGCCCTACATGGCTGGGAACCAAGTATCTGTTGGATCACATCTCCCAACCCTGATCTATCAGGCACTATGCTCAACCCCTGGGGCTTCCTCCAGGTACCAACCCTCAAGAGGCTCAAAGGGTAGCAACTAGGGGAAGGCCCTTTTCTGTAGTGGCCCCCAACTCTGGAACCTCTCTACCATGGCCACCTGGCACCAAATTTGCCGTCTTTTCAGCACGAGGTTAAGACAGGCCTCGTTATGGAGGCCTTTAAGGCCTCCCTAGACACCCAGGAACCTGATGGGTTTAACTGGGTGCCTTTTTTTCTTTCTTCTTGGTTAAGTCTTTTAATTGTCTTTTAATGCTATTTTAATTATCTTTTTGAATGCTCTAAATGCTGTTCTACATATTGTATTTTACTGTTTTTATATCCTGTTGTGAAACACCCAGAGAGGTTCAGCTACAGGCAGTATAGAAATGTAATAAATAACAATAACCTTATGCTGTATTGATACAATGACACCAGTTGTATCTGTACAGTGACATATTTCTGGTATGTTTCTGGTCTCGTACGCTGGTCAGTGACAGTTTTTGTCTTGCATATAAAGGTGCCCAAAGAGCATCTTGGATTGAAATAAACAAATCCATCACCCCTTCGGCATGGAAATTCCTTTGCAGTCCTTAAGTAATCCATATATCCTTCAGAGTATTTGCATTAAAGCCAGCTTGGGAGTCTTGAGCTGTGTGACTCAAACTTGTGAATTAACTTTAGGGTTCTTCTGGCTTTTGATAGGAAAAGAAAATTGTCCTGACATACTTTGCTCCAACTCCTGAAGCCTGCAAGCACCTCTGGAAATGCGGAATTGAAAATCAAGCCTTCTATAAGTAAGCACAAGAAAACTTTTCCCAGGATTTATTTTGTCCTCACATGGGTCTGATCATTCCCAGCAGCCAGTAACAAGGAGCCAAGTCAAAAAATCTAGCTCAGCATTGGAACGCCTCCCTTCCTCCACAGCACCCAGCCAAGATATTGGCAGGCTGGAAGAAGTTCCCTTTTGTGTAGCTAGACCTCTGATGAAATGCAGGCTGGCAAGCTTCACAACTATCATGTGGTCCCACGACGTCTGTGGTCGACAGTGGCAGGGCCAGCTAAGCACATTAAAAATGGTAGGCCAGAGCACAAGCCAATTGCAAAGGTTTCCATTTCTGTGGACCAGCTCTGGCTACCCCAACATGTCCAATTTTGGTATCTCCATGTTGTTTGGCATTTTGCTTAGACAGCTAAAGCTGGTGTCTTCATGTGCATATACAGGTCTGTGGTGTGAGTGTGTGTGTGTGTGTCAAAGGAAGGGGGGAGGGCGACACATGTGAGTGGTGAGTTGAGAGGGAGTGTACGTTTGATGATTCAGAAAGAGGAGGAATGTGTTGGCTGGCAGAATAGCAGAGGGCAAAATTTTGCTTTCTTTGAGATGTTGTCTCCTCCACCTCTCTTCTCCTCCTCTTGGATGCACATCTTTGACGTGATGACAGGTTTTGAGAGTGCCGGAGAAGCTGAGAGCGATGCCACAGGGATTCCAGACTCTCTCACCAGGCTGGCTGCCTAGCCAGCTCCCCCAGGGCAGAATGGTCAAAGCAGAGACCCCAGACTAAAAGGCATCCATCCTCTTCAGGAGGAATGATCACATCAGAAGAGAAGGGATCTCTCTAATGGTGGCGGAAGTGGGGAAACTTGATATTGCTAATCACTGTTGTGTGGGTGTGAAAGCTGCACAATGAAGAAAGCTGACAGGAAGAAAATAAGTACTTTCTAAATGTGCTGCTAGTCTGTGAATACAGAAAGACAAACAAGTGGATCCTAGATCAAATCAAACCAGAATGTGCCCTGAAAGCAGAAATAATGAAACTAAGGCTGTTGTGCCTTGGGGTCATCATGAGAAGGGAAGACTCGCTGGAGAATACTATCACATCAGGGAAAGCTGAAGGCAGAAGACAAAAAGGAAGACCAATTCCATAAGGGAAGCCACATCCTTGAGTTTGCAAGAGTTCAGCAGGGCTATCAAGGGCAGGACACTTTGGAGGACATTCATTCATGAAGTTGCCCTAAGTCAGGGACAACTCAACAGCATGTCAAACCAAACACCTAACTCTGTTCTAATGATGTTGGAATCTGCGGGTTTTGAGGAGCGGCTTAGAATGCTAGAGCTGAGACCCTACTTGTACCTTGTACTTTTTGGCAGGTTTCTTGTACTTTGTGACTAGCCACACCTCTCATGGGAGCTATTTTGTGCTGGTGCCCAAGAGCATTTCTCAAATTTCCAAACATGCCCATCAGGCCAAAACGTGTTGCCTACCCTAGCCTGGGTCATTTTGTCAGCATCTGTTTCCTGTTTCAGATTGGAAAAGTCAAGCCAAGTGCGTACGGTCTCCAGTAGCAACTTGTTTTTCAAAGGGAGTCGGTTCCGATACAGGTAAATACTGACCGTAAGTAGCAGTTATTGGATACCACCCCTCTGAATGGCATCCAGGATAAGGCTGTGCTATGTTGAGCTGTGGGAGAAAAGTCACAGGAAATCTCCCCACAGGATTGTCAGTTGATCAGGGAGGGCTCTATGATCATGCCGGGGCATGAGATTTTGCCTTCTCCGTTGTTTTCCAGTGGTGTGGCTTGCAGCTTGCCAACATGAGAGTGTGGGGTGCACAGGCGATTCCAGGCTGCACGCTGCTTCCCTACACTCTCCTGCAAAAGTCCTTCCTGTGTGAGGTGGGTTCCAAGTGGGACTGGGAAAGGAAATGCAGAACACTTTTCCAAGCAGTGTAGTCACCTACTGAGGGAGTCACGAGACAGGCTCTGTTTGCCATGGGCATGAAGGCAGGCTGACCAGGCAGAGGGAGCACAAGAGCAGAGGGTGCCCGGATCAGTCTGCACACCAGCAGCACTGGAGGGCGGGGGTGTCTTCTAATCCTGTCACTGTTTCCATTCTTCAATCACTTTCAGTGGCCGAGTTGCAAAGGAAGTGATGGAATCCAGTGCCAAGATCAAGAGGGAGCCTCCAGAAATACACAGGTATGCCACTGCAGAGGCGAGCGATGAGCCATTGTGAGAAGCAGGCTTAGGCATTGGTTCAGTGGTGGTGACACTCACCAGGAGTCCACGGGCGATTGTTCTATCTGAGCTTTCTGCAGGGAACTACCTTCAGGGTTGGGTTAGCAATCTGAGGAACTGCAGCCCACCGTTGCGTTTCCAGTGCAATTTCATGTGCTTCCTCTCTACAGGGCGGGCCTGGTTCCAAGCCGTAGCTGTCCGTCCATCACTCATGGGCCACGGCTAAGCAGCGTCCCCAGGACACGAAGGAGAGCTGTGCATATCTCTATCATGGAAGGTGAGATGGTGGAGCCATGCGCTTTTGATGCACTTTCCAGATGGTCACTCTTTTGCACACATAGAAATGCACCCTTCCCCAGCAAAGGGTGAATAGCACGTAAAGTAAGCTTCATACATCTTTCATTATAAACCTTTTATCCTTCCACTTAGATTTAAATGTGACTATACAGTGGTACCTTGGCTCACAAACTTAATCTGTTCCAGGACTCTGGTTGTGACCCAAATTGATCGTGACCCAAGTCAAATTTCCTCATAAGGTTCAATGTACAGTGGTACCTTGGCTCACGAACGCCTCAGTTTACAACCAAATCAGGTCGCGAACAAAAATTTCATAAACATTTTGACTCAGGTTGCGAACTCTGCATTGGGTGGCGACCACAATCGCTGCCATCTCCCCCCACCCGAGCACGCCTGCGTTCGTGCCTGTCTCCCTGCCCCCAAGTGCACCCACAATCGAGCCCATCATCCCTGCATGCGCCCGAGGTACCACTGTAAATAAGGTTGATCCATTCTGTAATAACATTTTTACTTTGTTTCAAATTTTTATCACAAAAATTTGAAACAAAGTAAATAACACTAACCCAGGTGGGGAGGTTATTGTTTGGAGGGAGTCCAAACCATAATCATGCAATAACGAGCGTGCTGGGGGTGGGGGGGGGGAAGATGGCTGCAATCATGGGCACGCTTAGGGGGGAGACTGGTGCAATTGCGGGTGCGCTCATGCAGGGATGATGGGTGCAATCACAGCCATCTCCCCCCCCCCCCAAGCACATTCGTGCAGGGAAGATGGGCGTGATCGCGATCGTCAACTGATGCGGAGTTCACGACCCGAGGCAAAATTTTGCCAAAATTTCTGTTCGGGACCCAATATGGTTGTGAATGGAGGCGTTCATGAGCCAAGGTACCACTGTATTCCATGGAACTTGCTACTGGAAAGAAATCCCACTATTTTTTAAAGTTGCGCTTTTAACGTCTGCACGTGTGTGTAAAATTTAGAAATGGTTGAACCCCTCTTGTGGCAAAATTGGGTGTTGTCCTCAGGGACTGATTTCCATGAAAAGCCGTGATAGTCATGGACTCACTCTAATTCCAAGCAGATGGGGTGGGGAACACATCCACAAAGTTACTGTGCAGCATCCAATGTACTTGGCAAAGGTGTTGGCACCTGTATCTTCTTCAGTTACGTATTTCCAACGATCAACCCTCTCACACCACTGCAGGACCCTTTTTCCTCTTCAGACGTGCCACGCGAGTTACCAGCCACCTTTCAGCCTGGTGATGTGTGGTACTGTGCAGCCTCGTCCCATGGGAAGAACTCGTGGAGAGGCATGATCCTATAGCCTGCCCATGTTGTCTGGAGGGGCACACAGAATTACTTGGTGACCCTCCACCTCAGTTGCCCCGTTCTTCACAGCTGGCATGGAAAGAATCCTGCTGGCTGACACACTGAGGATGCCTCTGGTCCTTGAGAAGGGCCAGAGGGGGCAGGACAGGGGCTGGGACTGCTTGCTCACCGCAGTTCCCATCGGGGCTCCAGCCTCTTCCCTCCCATCCTGGCTGTCTAGATAAGCAATGCAGAGGTTCACGAGCATCTGCAGCAGAGAGCATTGTATAACGCCCTTAACATAAAGAAGGCTGTATGAAGATTACACCCAGCAAACAGACCTTCGGTGTGAACAGTCTGAAACATGGCTTTCCATAGCAAAGCCAGCGTGAGGAATCCAGATCAGTTTCCTTGTACGGTGTGTTGAGGACCCAGTTGCTGAAGTGTCCCTGGAGCTACAAGCAGGAGTAGGTTTACATGCATGTGAAGGAAGAAATGACCTTGAATGCTTTGCGCTGACAGTCCCTTGTTTGAAACTTTGCTGCTAAAATCCACAAATGCAATCAAGTAAAAATCCTTGCAGCTTCTAACAACCTTGCTGGAGTGTACCAGGCCCTGCTTGCAGGGGCTAGATCCACAGGGCTGGTGGCCCGCCTGGTGTTCCAGTAGTTTCCAGCCAACAAAAGGTCCATTCTAAGGTTTCGTGAGTAGCAGGCAGGGGTGGGGGCCTTAAGCTGTAACAGGCTGGTGTTTTGGCCAGCCTTCTGCTGGTGACGAAAATGAAATCTGGCCCTTCAGCTGGAAGAGATTCTACAAGCAATAGCAGGATATGCTAGCTCAAAGCCCCACTGCCAGGAACTTTCTTAACTGTGTCATTCTGCCCTCCTGAGTGGAGCGAGTCACCGTCTGTGCCTTGCCTTGCCACACCAACTATCCCCAGCTGTGTTTATCCAGCATTCCTCCCATTCTTGTGTAAGCACAACCCCTTCAGGCAGACAGCACCTCTTGGGCCTCCACCAGAAGCTCAGTTCACCCTCCACTGTCGTCTGCTTCTGCCAGAAGCCCCCCCTTCTCTGACTTCTGCTGCTGCAGCATGCACGCCCCAGTGACCTCCATTTTCTGCTGGGGAAGGTGGGTCCAGCAGAGAAGCCTTTGTGTGTCTTTGTTTTCAGTTTACAGAAAACAATGAATACTTCAGGAATAAATGGCAGATTTTCACCAACCCAATAAAAGTGATTCCCCCCCACACAGTGCATTTGGAATGAGAAATTTAAGGTACGGGCAGACAAAAAACAAAAATGCCCAAAAAACCCAGTGAGGCTATCTCAGTGCAAAGTGCAACTTGCTTTAACTCTGCTCCTTCCTGGATTTTTCTAGAATGATGATTGTTCTCAATCGTTTCTCCCTGCTCAATTCCTGCTGCTGGGATTGCCCTGATTTTATGACAAGCAGCTATTCCAAAGGGCACAGTGGCAAGTTGGGAAAGGACAGCTGGCAGGGTCCCCTTGCGAAGCGGCTGGGCCACGCTCTTGTCACCCAGGCCCCTGTCTGTTTCTCCAGGCCTTGAATCTCTGCGGGACAGTGCCCACTCCACCCCTGTGCGGTCAGCCTCCCACGGTGACGCCTTCCTGCCACAGTCGCGGGCCAGTCGGGCGGAGAGTGGCGAGCGCGTTGCTGTCATCTCAGATGAGGTCTACAGCCCCTCGGACAGCGTGCTGCCCACGCCCGTCGCCGAGCACAGCCTGGAGCTGATGCTGCTGTCCAGACAGGTCAACGGCGCTCCCTGCAGCATAGAGGAGGAAAAGGAATCCGAGGCCGGCACACCCGCTGTGGCCGAGGCGGTGGAGCTGGGTGGGGAACTGCGGGCCTTGTGCCCAGGTGTGGGCAGCGGTGGTGGAGCCCAAGCGGAACAGGTGAATAAGTTTGTTTTAAGTGTCCTCCGTTTGCTCCTTGTGACCGTTGGGCTCCTCTTTGTTTTGCTTCTCCTCCTCATCATCCTAACCGAGTCTGACCTTGACATTGCCTTTTTCCATGATATTCGCCAGACCCCCGAGTTTGAACAGTTCCATTATCAATACTTTTGTCCCCTCAGGCGATGGTTTGCCTGCAAAATCCGCTCCGTGCTCAGCCTGCTCATTGACACCTGAAGGCAGGACTCCTCCTCCTCCTAGTAACTAGCCAGGTGGAATGCAGAAGATCCCAGCTACCCGTTCCCAGAAAAATGGGACACATCGTGGCACCATCGGCACATAAAATAAGTCCTCCTTTCATGACTCAGAGCACCCTGCGGCCCAGGAGAGTTGTTTCCAAGCAGAAGAAAGGGACAGACTCATACCAGATTCAAACACACACTTCTTTTTCCTGGGCCTTGTCCTCGAAGTTTCTTCAACAGGTCCACTTTCCAATTTTTTAATTATTCTTCATTCTTCAAGTTTCATTTTAGCTTTCATAGAGGTGTTCATTTCAAAAACTTCAAGGAAATAGAGTTTATTTTATTACTACTATTACTACATTAAATGCCAGCCTCCAGCTGGGACACTAGTTCAAGAAGACAGCTAATACTTTATGCAGGAGCTTTTGTAATGGTGCTACTGAGTTGTAATTTTAATATTATAGTGTTATTATTTTATTAAAACTGCCACTGTGCACAGCACTACCACCTTAAATGCAGTCATTTGTAAAAATGGTGATCTTGCTACCTTACCAATAAACTTCTGGCTTAATTTGGAGCAGCAGACAAGATTCTGAGAGCTGGTCATCCAGCACTTTCAGCCCTTCTCAAGCAATAGGCAGGCACAAGATAAGGAGGTCTGCAGCTGAGGGGTAGATGTTCTTCCCTTTAGCATGGAAAGGCGTGGCTTTCAGAACTTGTCTTTTGTGCTTTTAAGCTTCCTGACGTTCAGGACCCCAGAGATACTGAACTTTAGACCAGTTAAGTCCTCAAATAAAGCAAGAGTTGGTATACAGGGAGGGTGAAATTTATGCTGTGTCTAGTTTTTAGTAACTAGGTAGCAGTGATCATCTCGACTTCTTCAAAAGACATTTTGTCTTAGAAAGCTGTACTTGTTTTTGTACTGCAAAATAACATGTTTCCACCTATATTTTAACAACAAAAGTGTTACTTTGTTAATGAGCAAACCAAGGCTTTTAAAAAAAAAAAAACTTTCTGAATTAGGAAAATACGATGGTGGCATACAGTGATGGGGTAAGCAAAAGATGGTTTTTTAGAATGGCGTATGATCATCACACCCATTCACAGTTTCCAGAAGAAAGAAAATTGTTCTTTTGTGCCATTAAAAATGACAAGCAAACAGCAATTGCAGAGCTGGCGGTAGCACTGAAATGTAAACAAGTCAAACACTCTGAACAGCGTTGTCTCCAAACCGAAAGGAATTCAGAAGCATTTTTTACTTTGTCTTGTGATGTGTATAGTATGATTTAAGAGCCTGCCAAACTGCAGTTCATTCGAAAGGGAGCAATAAACTATGGGCGTGCTGCCACAGGGGCAGGGTGGAGAATGAAAGTCAGACTGGCAAGCGTTTTACTTCATCTCAGGGAGAGATTTCAAGTCATCTGGGAATCTAATCAGAACTATTTCAGAGGCTGGCTTCACCATCTTTTCTCTGACCATGTTATCCCATCTTGGCTTGCACCCATGCCCTGATTCATGCTCATGCAAGACGGCCACACTGCCAGAACGCACGTGAGCGAGGGTGTGCAGATGCGTGAGCTCAAGCACTCGATCGCCTTTCCAAGCTAGTCACACTCTGCCCACAACTAGTCATTCATCATTTGGAAAAAGAGCACAATAACAATATCAGCAATATGGTTAAGTTTTGGCAAAAGACTACTGGACTCAGATAGGGTGCCTACATAGACATTAGAAAGGATTTTTCTGATATTTCAACCTATCGTAGAAATGCTACAGGTACTTCACCTTAATCGTGACCATCAAGCGCAACTGCCAGATAGCAAACCCTAAGAGCTGGAAGCCACTTTGCTTCCACTGGTAACTCTGACAGGTACATTAAAGGTTCGAAAGCCAGAGGATGACAGGATACCTTTTTCAAGGATAGACTCTGTTTTATGCAACAAAACAACCAAGTTAACTTCTAGTGTAGTGTTCCTACCTCAGTCTGTAGTAAATGATGCTTCTATGCAGTGAGTGAAAAGTCTTAATTTAATATTCTCCATCCCAATTAAGATGCAGTATTTCATGTCCTAATTGTTGGTGTCATTCATCATGCCTCACACCCGCCCCATTATCTGTAGCTATTTTGTACAATGAACACCTTTCTTTTCAAATGGGCAACACGTGAATACCAATGGTGGCAACTCATTATTAGACAGCTGTTTGTGTTTTAAAACCTTGGGCACAGCCTAGAAGGAAGTTCTCCTACCTGCTCTCATTCATTTCGAGGGGGCATGAACAGGGAAAATTCCTGGGGAATTGTGCACCATTTTTGCCAAATACTTTATCCCGAGAACTTTCCAGCTGGCAACTGAAAAAGAAGTTTTCCTGTTTTGCCCCATGTTACATCTCATACCTTCACTACTAAGTTGTTCCAGGTGTCATTTGTATAAACTGTGCTGATTTCCATAGGCTGCTGTATTAGAGGAGACAAACTCTTAGTAAGGATTAGCATACTGCATCTTCAAGCAGTAGAAGGTAAATCACCTGAAAATGTGAATTTTTGTTTTCATAATATAGATGTTAATCTTACACGTGCCAAATGCTGTACGTTACATTTTTCCTTCAAAACAATGTACTGTTTTCTACATATTCAACCTGTAGCTAGTGTAAAATCATTGGTGCCATATAAAAGTATTTTTAAATTTAAATAAATATTTAATTCTGATGAAAAATATTATTTGTTCTGTAAATTGATGGGGATGGTTTAAACATGTAAAATAGCAACTGAGATCGACGTGGGTAATGGGAAACCTTTGTTTCAGCAACTTCTTACTTTTTCAGAAACAGAAGCAAAGCCAACTAAAGGGTTAGAAAGATACTTCTGTGCCATGTCATATGGTTTTAACATTCTTGTTGCACTATTACAGAAGGCCACATGGTTTTCCAAGCTTTTATCAATTCTTACTGTAAAGCAGCTTGCACAACATGGCAGGCTCCCCCAGCCGTGATCTGCAATATCCATTTCCCTGATCTGAAATATTAGCATAACAGTATCTTTGCACTTCCCATTTTATCATCGTATTAACATTCTACTTCGTACATAATTTGAACTTAAGTCCATGTCTTCTCTATTGTCTGGCAGTGAACACTCAAGATGCTGCTGCTAACAACCAGCTTCTGAACTGAATGCAAGAGAGCACAGTTCCTTTTATTTCTAAGACAGTGTGGATGCATTTAATAAACTAAAAACATTCAACAGCATCAGCTGCTCACAACTTGTAAAGTGCTGCTGTATTAGGTTGCCAAATCTAGCCTTTTTATTTATATTACGGGCAAGCTAATCAGAAAAAACATTATGCAACATTTTAAAGCATATCTACAACGCACACAGATATATCTTTAGAAGGTGTGCAGGTCTTTTCCCCGAGACAAAATATGGATTATAACAAATCTACAATGCAATTTTTTTCTACCAGCAAAAATCAGGAGAAAAATAGTCTAATGCTTTTCACTCTTTGAAAACATGCAGGCGACCACTGGAATTACCACCAATCACAACGTACCTGCTTGGGTGCCAGGCATTAATAGAACAGACAGAGGCAAGGTGGTCATCACTGGAGAAGGTATGAACCAATTCTCCAGTAGCATGAAAGGCCTGTATCTGCCTCGGTCGAGACATACTCCCCACCACAAAGCAGTCATCCCTCTTTGGGTCCCACACAGTTTGAAACCTGGTCAGCCACCGTCCCGTGTTGTTGTTGTGCCTGTCAAAAAGAAGAGAGACAACAGTGGTGAGGACAAAACAAACCCCCCTTGCTCGCAGGCTGACTGAGAGACAGGTAACACCAGCAAGTCCTTTTATATTAAAAAAGCCTCTTCATTCTAGGTGCACACTGGTCATAACAGAGCGAGCCCGTCTCCAGTTGAGAGCAGCTGCCACAGTCCTTACACACAACCAATTTATACATTTAGCTTTTTACAATTATTAGCAGGTAACATCATCACAGGAAACATTCAGTTACTTTTACACATGGTTTCCTTGACCTGCACTTCCTTTTAGTGTCTTCCTTGGTCTGAAAATATCTGTCTCCAGCCTCATCTTTACAAATTCTGACCTCCTTGACAGAGGTTTATTTTATATTTTCAACTCTCCTGTGTCTCTCTAACAGAACCCTAAGAAACTGACCCTTGTTTGGTCATCAGGAAAGATGTTTATTCTTCAGTAGGATTTGACTACAGAACCAGGTGACCCTCAGTTTTCTTTGCATGGCCTCTGAAAGGAAAGCCAAGCCCTGTTCCCTGTAGACAGGATACCTGGCCTGAGAATCCCTTGCATCAGCCATGGCATGGCAGTGTAAACCCTCTTGTCTTGTCTTAACTCACCTGATCGTGGTAAGAATAGGGGCTAACGATGATAAACAACTGGTTCCAAAAACCCTGTAAGAGAAAATACAGAAGCAGTTAAAAAACCCAAAAACCTAGATTAGCCTCACACCTATAAGAGCAGTTTGTTACTACAGACCCTAATCCAGAAGACAATTAGATTTTAAGGAAAAGCAGTCAAGACTTTGCTCATCAGAAATCCCTGTGGACTGGTGCTGCAGTCATAGTCAAGATGCACGGCCTTAAGGAGGACCTGGCTAAATGGCAGGCACGCCATGGAGTGAAGATGCCTTGCAGCCAGCAGGCTGAGCCAGCACCAGGGCAGCTTGCCTGGGCACACCCCTCCGGAGCCACAGTGCGGCCAGTGAACAGGACCATGACGGCCACTTCACCCTCGCCCACCCTCGCCAGAAGTTGCCTGCAGCTCGGGATGCAGCTGTGACTCTTCCCTGCCCTGGAGCAGCTACTGCTCTCCCAAGGCGCTGCTCACTAAACCCTGCATCCAGCGGGCCACTGCTGACAGAGGGACAAACAAAGCGACCCAGAAGAGGACAATTCCTCGTGGAAGTTCAACTGGAAGTTCCTCACCATGGCAGCAACCGACACACCCTTCCTTCCTGTCTCCAGGCAGACCCGCGTAGATGGCCTGCACCCACACAGCCATCTTTAAAATGCCCCACATCCTCCTAGAGGGGTCCATACGTGCATGAGCCAAGGGGTGGGTGAGCAGGCCTTCTGTGGCAACGGCAGGCGTGCAGAGCCCATTCTCCACATCCTCTACTGCAGCACCCGCCAATGGCTTCCTCCCGGACTTATCTGGCTTCACCATACCTGATGCCACGCTACAGCAATGGCGACGCCCCAGACCAGGTTCTGAGTGTCACTGGAACGAGCGACTGGGAAGCCCTGGGCTTGGGAAATGCAGCAAGTGCGTGTGTCTGAACGATCCGCATATAAGCCAACTCAAACTGCGACTACTTTAGTGGTGTTGTCTACCCTGCCAACTCTCCTGGATATGACCAAGCCAAAAGTCCCCTTGTTACCTTGGAAATATACAGAGGGTTCAGCAAGACAGTATTTAGTCCCATACCCACATTCCTTATTCACTGAAACCTCACCAGATAAAAGGCTGCCGACAGAAAAAAACCCTGAGCTGGATGCAAAGGGAGCAAGGGTCTATTCCACATTAACTGCCCTCTGCTCCCCTTTGTGTGACTGCCAGCGCCACCCACCAGCAGCCAGTGCTGCGGCTCTGGGAAAGTCTCCAGGACTGCAACAGCTGGCCGGTACACATCGCCACGCTGGGGCATTCCATCGGAGCAAGCGATGGGTCAGGGCCATTAGGCAAAATGTGAGTGGCCTTTCTGCATGCATGATGGGCTCTGTAGCCTTCTGTCAGCAGGCCATGCTCTTCTTCATGGTGCCTTTTTCAAATTCTAAGGCCTATATAGAGAACCCGACATTCCGCAGTGAGGGTCTCGTTCACGGTAAGGCAGGTGAAAGCATAGAGAAGCTGGAACAAACTAAACTGTCCATATAGTCCCAAGGACTGACCCCCAACATCATTCGTAGCAGTCATCAAGACAAGACACCAGGATGCCCAAGAATTTAATTCTGAAGCACAGCTAGAAAAAGCCACACGTCTCCCTGGCTTTTTAAACAAACAGTTCTTCAGAAGAGTTTGGATTATTTTAAAAATGTTGATGGCAGAAGCGTCCCTTTTGACCACCTGATGAAAACCACTGTGTACTTCTAAACTGTACTCAAAGTACGTTTCAGGCAGACAAGACACTCACAAGCACTGGGGGCACTGACATGCCTCAGTGCAAAAGACAACAGCTGCTGCAACACAGTCATTTCCACCCACAGTCCATCCAGCCACATTTCCTATTTCCACAGAGCCAGCGGGTTGCCTCTGGAAAGCTCAAAGCTGGCGCATGACCATGGGCCCAGATGCGTGTGCTCGCAACATGGATGGAGGTTCCACAGCATTTGATGTCTAGTCATGCCTTTGCCAAAAGCACTTATAATGCCACCAAACCTGCCAGGCCCTGGGGACAGCAAATGCTCCTGGTCTATCTTGGGCTGTGAAAAAGGATTTCCAACAAACAGAAAATGCAAACTTCACTCCCCTCCCATTCTCTCACATACCTCAATGTATTGTCAGCACAAGTTGTCACGACTCTGTTACCACTGTGGGGTGAAAAATAAGCTGACGCAACACTCTTTGTGTGTCCTGAGAGAGAGACCACAGGCCTGCTTCCACTGTTCTTCAAGTGCCGAACATCATAAATACCAACATCCCTGCAACATAAATTGGAACACTGCACATGCCACAAGTACTCTTGTCCTTCAGTTACAAGGACGGTATCTGAGGGGGGCATCTCTTCCCGCTGGGCCCTGGAAGCAGAGCCGATCAATTAAGCATCCTGCCCCCTCTGGTGTCTACGGCTGCAGGAAGTGAGGAGGGGTGGGTTGTCCAGTGGCGTTCCCTCAGAGACCCAAGGCCTCTTCCCCACCAAGAGAAGCGTCCCACTGCTATGCAATTCCCTGACTTGTGAGGCCAGGGAGGTTCCAGCTTGGCACTGGTTTTGACACCTGCTGGAGACATCTTTGCTCTGGGAAGCCACAATTTTAATGTTACCTTATTACTGTATTAGCATCTTTCCTCTTTTACCTTTTTATCATTCACCATATTAAGATCTACGTGAACTATTATCTTACAACAGTATTTAAGGTGGCTGGTTCTGACGTCTCCAATCTACCTGCAGACCTATCAAGTAGGTTGATTTGGTTAGTGGGCAAAAGAGAGGGTTTTCTTCATGGTGGCCCCCCATGCTGCGGCATACCGCATCCCTTGGAATGCAGATGGTCTTAGCCTTTCAAAGTTTTAAGTGGTATTTAAAGATTTCTTTAAGAAAGCTTTTCTTGAGTTGAGTCATTTAATTCCTGCTTGTTTAGGAACTGAGAAGCTGTTGTGAAATGTCTTAGCACGGTTTATGAGCTCTGCTCCTCTATTAACTGGACTACATTTTTTAAAGATATTGTTATCAAATAATGTTCTAACGTAGCATTTTATACTGCTTGTTACATCAACTGCCTGGTAAAGGCAACTGCCCCAAAAGTCAACTCAAATAAGGTGGTCTGTAAATCATAAACACATGCGAGTTTTCTCTATTAACTAACCAATAACTATCAACACAAGTTTATGTTGTCTTTTACTCAGTATTTCTGGATTTTGAGACAGTGCCCTTTGGGTGGACTATACAAAAAAGCAAAATAACTAGACCTTAGTCAATGAGTATTAATAGCAGTTTTGCATAAAATGCTAGTAATCTTTGAGGGTTCTTCATTTTTAAACTGGGGAGAATGTCTTAAAACTTGAACTTCAACACACCTTTACGGAGGTGTGATCCATGCAGAAAGCCTTTATCGCATTAGCCCTGCACCGTTCTGGTTTCAAGTATGCCTAATGCATTACACCACCAGGGCTTGGATCACAGCTTGGACCTACCTTGCTCCAGCAGTCATGAAATAATGCCTGCTGACTGGATGAACATGAACAGTCCTTGTTTTTGAGTTGAGATCTGCAAAGAGCTCAGAGGACTGTCCTGGAGTTCTTTGGTCCACTATAGCCACTCCTCCATCCCACATTCCTACTAACAAAGTGGAGGCATCTTTCGCCAAGAAGTCAAACGAGGAGATATTGTACTGCTCATTTCGGTACACCTGAGAATCAGAAACAGAATCAATTTAAACAACCCTGATATTCAAGGCTTAGTCAAAATATATTTTAAATTACTTTGATACTGGTCCTGACAGTAACAGGAGATCACCCTAAATAGCAGCATGCTGGTTGCCACACTGTTTTTGTCAGTCCTCTCTTGGGCTGCATCTTGGGCTGATTTTTTTCTTCCTTTCTAAAAACCGACCTTTTCACCCCACATTGGGAAGCATGCAAACTCAGATCCCAGCAAGGAGGATCTGGCGTTACTCTAGCAAGTTACTCTAGCAACATTCACCTCTTCGAAGACCGCTCTAGTTACGTCCCCGCACCGCACTGTGCCGTCATAGCTCAAGGAGAGAAGCTGAGCAGCATTAAAGGGAGCAAATTGCAAGCAGCTAACAGGCTGGCGGTGGAGTGTGAAGGCATGAATTCCATCTTCCAACTTGCAGTCCTACGAAGTACAGAGCAACACAATTACTGCTACTTCACTTTTTAACACTGAAAGTAGAACTTAGCAAGGCCCTCTCTTGTTCAGCAGGCAAGAGACTCAATAGGAAAGAGTTGGCTCCTCCCACCCCATCAGAAGGAGGGGGCAGGAAAGGTAACATCCATCTACAAGAGAGACCCATCATACTTTCAGGGCAAGGAAACAGCTATCAGAAGGCTTCAATCAGGGTGAATGAAGGGGAAAACTAAAAATATACAGTTCAGGTTGTTATTAATATTCTACACTGCTGTTCAAAGCAGAGGTGGGGAACCTTATGGAGGGAGGGCCCTCGCTGACTCTAGTCCATATGCCAAGAGACAGGCCACATCCCTGATGTGACCAGTCAGGCGGCACTTCCTCCAAGTGGCGTTGGACTTGGGTTTGTTGCACACAGGCTGTTTGTGTGGCCATGTGGCCCCTCCACCTGACCCAGCCCTGTCCTGTCAAGACAGAGAAAAGCGCATCATTGGCACACCCGGCCTCTTTCCTTCAGGAGGCTCTGCATGACCCAGCAGCAGACCATGGGTGTAACGCGTGCCCCTCTGTGAAGGCCACTAGCAGTGCTGCAGAGGGATATCAGTTGACCAACCACTGAACCTTCTGAACATGCACCTGGTGCTGCTAGTTTTCTTAATGACAGTATCCCTCCACTTTTCTAGAGCAGTTTCCATACCTAGGTTTTAAAAGTTTAAACATTCCTACTTTCCTGCCTAAGGTCAATGGTGTACAGAAGCTAGCAAGGAAAGAAAGAATGAAAAAGTCCCAAGAACAACAGATGTGCTGTTTACCAAATCCCAGAGACCGACATGCCCCCAATTGTCTCCAGCTGCCACCAACGTTCTGCTTTCGGATGGATGGATGGCCACAGAGTAAATCCGGCTCTTGACTACTTTTGCTACACAGTCTTCTCTGAGGACCATTCCACACAGTCGAGCTTTGTAACTAGGCCAAAACGATTAGCATGCTGTTAGCACCCACAAAAAGCCTATTTTATTCTCTCTTCTTTTCAAATTTTACTGTTATTAAGGTATTACTTTTAAAATCCTATTTTTAAAAGCAAGATAAAACCAGTTTCTGCATTACCTTTCCAAGTTGCACATATTCTTCTTGGTGTTTTTAGGTTCTACCTGCATAAAAGATTGAAAAGAAAAAGAACTGATCATGCAGGCACCAAATTAAACAAATCAAGTACTCAATCTTATTACAAATCAAGTCAGGAAGTTCTGGTGATACCTGGCTTATTTTTGCCCACGTATTCAGAACGCCTTCAGTTGGCTCAGTTCTTTGATCTTGATGTGCAGGGATCATCTGAATTGGCCCAGGTGGCAAACACTGCTTTCAAGAAGAAAAATTGGCACAGAAATTGGCAGCCTGCCCCACATTTTGCCCTTTCAGTGCATCTCACAGAAAAGCAACAGGGAGAGACATGGGTTTTTTTCTATATCCCAGAACTGCTTTATGCAAATGCCTGAAGAGCATTTGATCCCTGAAGAGCAGAGCGAATACAAGCCATAGCACTGGACTAAGACCCCAGGAAATGCTTTGCCAGAATCTCCAACCCAAAGCACCCAGCAACACAGGAAGCAGCCAAGAGTGGTCTGAGTTGCCAGTTCTGCCCTCCGTGTTTGTCCTCTTACATGCTCTTCAACTGACAGTTCTGGCTCTGCAGGTTTCTCTGGCAGGGGAATGCCCAGGGGGTCTACTCTTTGCAAGCGCATGGATCTTCGACAAGCTGTCTCAGCTTCTGTCTTTGAAGGTTTAACTCTACAGAAACAACAAGTGCACCCCTAAGACCTTACAACATTTCCACTATTTCACATCCATCACATTAAAATATTCCACACCTATCCAAAAGGGGAGATTCAAGTGGATTGTTCCTAGCCCTGCCTCTTAAGTAGGAACTAGACTTAATCTCCTTCAACAGCCATTTAAGAACAAACTCTTCCAAGTTACTACCAGCAATATTTGCTAGCACACAATGTTATTAACACCATTATTTTGGAAATATTTTAACAACATATTAGCAAACAAAACCTGGAATAGTATTTTTAATCAAGAAATTCCAAACATAATACTAACAGAAAAATGGCCAACGGCAGAATTGCAAGGGTTCAGTTTTCAGAAGTAACTAGCTAGGTACCATCACAACTTAAAACAGGGCAGAAAAAAAGTTGCTAGAATCTTTACCCATATTTAAAATACTCATCTTATTTTACCTTTTTATTTCATGAGACTGCCCTTTGATTGTCATTTCACGAAGTCTTGCAGCTGACTGAAAAGAGAGCAAAATCAAGAAATTAGATGCAGTCCACACTATTAATTTAGCTCATAAAATTCCATCATTCTTGCTTCAGATTTAGCTAACTCAAGTCAGACCCAAGAGTTAAACAACAACTGGAATATCCCCAAAGCTTGTTCCTTATCCTTGACACTGATGGCTTTTATTTAGCTGGCTATTTTTATCTTCTCCTGTTCTCTTATCCGATTGATGACTGCTTTACTGTATTTTCTTATTCACACAAATTCATTTTATTTAACTGAATGGTGACAGAAAAACGTTTAAAGCGTATTTAAAAATATACTGGCTTTACCAAAAAAAAAAAAAAACCCTTCCTGTTGCCTTATTATGCCCTAGTTAGGCAAGCACAACTGAAGTTGGATTCCTTAACTAAAACTGTCCAGTTGCAAATATGACAGTGACTCTGTTCAATAGTAATATTAAGTATTATTGACCACAACAAACCTCAAAAAGCTTCAGAGAAGCAAAATATTCAGCGTTTTCCGTTATATTTTTCAGTCTCTTTTTCTCATAAGCTGATAGCTCCGTTGAGTCATTCTCCTGCAAATAATGGGAAATATTTAGTAATGCCAGGAGCGGGAATTTCAAGCCCCGTCTTCCAAGCAACTCAAAGCGCCCGTAACAGTGAACAGATACTTCTCTTACAAAGCAACAGGCGCTCGCTTTCGCTCCACCGTTCTCGGGCCGACCAGCTGCGGAAGCGGGCATGCCGGGACTCGCCTCGGGGACGGCGAGCTCCGCCGGGCGGGAAGAGGCCTCCGGCTCCCGCGGGCCGGGAACCCCGCCGCAGGCCGCCTGGCCCCCCGCCTGCTCCTCCGAGGACCCTCCGGGGCGGCACGGCTGCGCCCGCGAGCGCTTCGGCGCCCGGCGCCCGGCGCGCTCCTCCGCGGGGACGGCCAGGGGCGTGAGCACGATCCTCACTTGCTTCAGCAGCGCCGCGCTTCGCACCGACCCTCCCGGCGGGCGCGCGGCGGCGTGTTCCGCGGCGACTCGCTCCTTCGCAAGAGAAGCACCAGGCGCTCGTTAGCGACACCCGCCGCCCAGCCCCGGGCACCGCGAGGGGAGCAGCTACCCGGGCAAGCCCCGCGCGATGCCGCCGCCGGCAGAGCCTGTTCCGACTCAGGCCCCAGGCCCCGCGCAGACCCTCGGCCGCGGGCCAGGCGCCAAGGCTGCGGCCCCACCGCCCGGGCTGGCCCGCAGGCGCCGAGGCGCGGAGGCAGGGCGTCGCGGCTCCCCTCCCTCAGCGCGGCGCCC